CAGACAGGCTATGTAGAAGAGAAGTTTTTAAAAGTTTGAGGCACTTTGAATTTAGAAAGCACTGGAAGGTGGATCACTTAACACTCAGCAACCACCTACAGAAATGAAATGCTTTAGTGGAGGAAAAAACTTCATTAAGTGTATTCAGAAAGCCAAAAACAAGGAAATAGTTCATCAAATGTACAACTATAGTGATTTTACTACCCTGTGTGTACTGTATCTCACCATTTGTAAACCATGTAACTRTGTCCTTTTGTTCATACATGTTATTTACCCACTTCTCCTTTCTGGGTCATGGGAAGCTGGTGCCTGTCTTCAGCAGTCTAAGAGACTAAGAGGTGGACACAGGACCACATAGAAACAAGACAAAAACCCATTCACACTCTCACATGCCACACCCAGGAACAAGAGTTACCAGTGAACCTAACATTTTTGGTCTGTGTGAGAAAACCCACATGAGCATGGGAAGAACAAGCAAACTCCATCCAGAAAGGCCCCAGTCCAGGAGGCGATTGTGCAACCTTCTCGCTGAGATGAAACAGCACCAACCACTGCACTGCCTTAAAAAAAAGTCAGATTTTTTTTTAATGTAGGCTACTTACTGCATTTATATGACATTGTGAGGGTTTGGAAACAGTGGCACTGATAAAGGCTTTGCATACATTGACTGGGCAGAAGTTTACCAGAAAAAGACTTCAGTAACACAGCCCTGTCTCRTTATTGCTATAAAATATCTAACATTTAGCTTTATTCTGCACACAAAAATACTTCTTAAAATATAAAACATGCATGTTTCTATCAATAATTGACATTTTTAAGAAACAAGTCAATCTGCATTTCTAATGTTTTACTCATACAATCGCACATTCTCAAAGTTCAAACTCCAGTGAATCCCTTTTCTGTTGATGACAAATAGTTTGTCTTGAAATTTTGCTGTAAATCATGATGCTAAACTAGGCAGGTGTTAACTAAATCCAACATCTATAGTGACCTATTACAATAACAGAGGTTTGTGACATTTTATTTGACCTTGTTCTCGTTTATTCATGGAGATTTCCTTTATTGTATTTTATTTCTGCGGTTAATGAAATCTCAGGTGCTTTTTTTATCCAAAGTTGAATTTTTCCCAGTTGTGTATTTTAGGATACTTCAAAGATTTGTCAGTTCAGTAGAACAGATTAATTCCTATATCCATACAGAGGTCTTTACATTTTTCACAATAGTTGCAGCTTTGTCCGTGGCTGATCTCGGCCTCGCTCCTTGTTTTTCCTGGACTGTATTGGCTCGGTTTTGCTCTGCCATAGTGCCCCCTGAAACAGGACTGCTGGTTCTCGAGGTTTCTTGRGTGGTTTTGGTTTGATATGTTTGAAAGGCCAAATCGAGCTGCTCCTGTGCWACACGCAGGTGCCGGTGCAAACTTGCGAGGTCAGACGGGATGTTCTCGTCTGGGCTGGTGCACTGCTGCTCCTGGGCCACGTTGGCCATGTTTTGCTCATGAGTCATGAGGCTGTTAGGGATCCGACTAGGCTCATCTGTTTTCACCACAAGGTTGTACCCAGGTGGCGACGCTGTGATGTTGCGAGAAAATGGGTAGCCGTAAGCCAGAGAACGTCGACTRCGGTTCCTCTTTGAGTGAAGTGTGTCTCGAAAAGTGCCGATTCCCAAGTGAAGCATCTCACACACATTCAGCACAAGACAAAGACAGCTCACTACATACATAATTAAMAGAAAGATAGTTTTCTCTGTGGGCCTGGAGATGAAACAGTCCACTCTGTGTGGGCAGGGTACCCTGTTGCACACGAATGAGGGATTAACTCGAAAACCGTAGAGTAGATACTGTCCAGCAAGGAAAGCAATTTCAAAAATAGCTCTTGACATAAGCTGGAGAACATAAATTCTCATCAGGCCTTGTTGCATAATTTTTTTGCGGCCATCATGTTTTGGCATATCTTTATTAGTGATGCTCGCTGGCGCAGGTTTGGCCTCCTGCACCTCCCGCGTTTCCTCGTAGATCATGGGCTCCGCTTCGTCRTCTTCCTCCCCCTCCAAGCCACTCTCCAGATGGTGGCTCTCTCTCCATCTCGTGTGTGGGTGTGGCTTTCTGCGGAGTCTCAGGTGCTTCCGGCGTTCCTCCTCTGAACTTCGAGCGATCTTGTGGATGGCGTAGCCCATGTACATGATGGAGGGAGTGGAGATCATGATGATCTGGAARACCCAGAAGCGAACATGCGAGAGGGGAGCGAAGGCATCGTAGCACACGTTGTCACAGCCTGGCTGCTTGGTGTTGCAGGTGAACTTGGTCTGCTCATCGGAGTAGATGGACTCACCTCCGACTGCTGTGAGCACRATGCGAAAGATGATGAGCACCGTCAGCCACACTTTCCCCACAAAGGTGGAGTGGTTGTGGATCTCCTCCAGGAGGCGAGTGAGAAAGCTCCAGCTCATGTTGCTTCTKTAGGTTTTCTAACTAAAACCTGTATAAAAACAGATAAATGACACGTCACAGGGGTTCTGTGCAAAAATAATTGCAGACTTTTTAAATAGTAATTTAATATTGTTGCGACACCATTTCAAATGTGAAGAAATATTCAAACTAGTCTGCATCCTTTTGTGGATTAGTTCTTCTGTAACAATACAAAATACTAAAAATAAGGAAAAAAAATCTTTCCACTGCAGCTTCCCAGAATCCAAGATATCATCATTACATGTCCCCACATCCACCCAAACCAAMAAATATCCACATTGTCATTAAAGAAGACTAACGGAGCAAACATTCACATCTGAGACACACATTTGATTATTTATGTGCCATGATTGCTAGTTTATTTCAGTCCACCAGGAAACCATTTTAAGTTCTTTCAGCTTTAATGTAGTGCAGACCTTCAGGAAATCTGCCGTTCTTTTTCAAAAGAGCATAATCAGTCAGTCCACATTCCATGGGAATTATTGACTTTTTAAATTAGAGATAATAAGGATAGGAAAGCATTTATCTTATTTGTTATTGTCTCAAACATTCCAAACGTTCAGTGTACTTGAATTTTCACTGACGAGATACGAGAAATTACTGTTTTCTGTGAYTGAAATGAAAGAAAATGACATAAAATAGCGTAGAGGAGATTAGARGACAAAGAGAAATCAGCTCACGGGGCAACACCCAACAGTCACTGTGTGTCAAAATTAAGAACACCAGGGAATACAAAAGGGATGAAAGTAGCAGAAGATTACATCTTTGAGAATCTCACACATCTCGTACAACGTGCTTCAGACAGTGTGCCGCTTCCAAGACATTCTGATTTCTGTGTTTCAGCACTCCAAGCCAGCAGTCATGTAGCAAAAAAAAAAAAAAAAAAAAAAAAAAAAAAAAAAMAATGACACAAGATCTCAGGGTCATACTCTGCTCACAGCCAGCGTCACTACAGATTCTGCGAAGCAACCGTCGCCGCTGTGAGGAGACAGCTTTGCACTTTCATTCATTGGACAGAGCTGCGRTGTTCACGTTGATGTCATAACTGTGATACTGTACTCCTTGGCGTGTGATGTGCCATCTCCTCTGTCAGCTGAGCGAAMAGGAGAGGCTTGTTGCTCTGCCACAAGGCCTCCCCTCCAGATTCAGTCCTGCTGAAGCTGGGGAGAGGTACGGACACGMGGAGGCAGATGGCGCCAACGGTGCCAGGATGTCACGACAGAAGGATGGATTCTCTCCTGACTTACATTAGATTTAAGTCGTTTTGTGTCACGGCATGTGCCCAATTTGTTCRAAAATAACTCACACTCTTTTCTGTTTTACAACCTTTAATGTGATTTTACAAAAGAGCTGTTTTGACTGTAGATCCTTCTTGTTGTTCAGTGAGAGCATGTTTTAATAATGGTAAACATTGATTAATACACAGATAAAGGGGTTAAAAAGAATGCATACACTTATTCTGTTAAGAAAACAATAATATAACGCATTAAAAATGAAAAAGATTAGACCATGTTTGTTGAGATGTTTCATATGCCAAGTACAATATTAAAGTAAATCTTTTTGAAACAATAAGTAAAAGCAGACATATTTTTAAGAGAAATATCTCAGTCTTTTCTCAACAACATCACGTGGTAATATAAAACTCAGTGCGTTATAAATTGAATTACATTCTCTGGAAATATGTAACATAATAAAACACAATTATAAAAACATATATGAATATATTTACATCCTGCAGAATTTAGAAATTTAAATAGAAATTGAAATTTCTGAGGCTGCTATAGATTCCCTATTAGAAATTAACATAATRCACAATTTCAGTAAGTGTTGTTCAAATAAACTTGAAAATATCAAACTTTATATTTCCCCCCTTATTTTAAAGCAATGTAATTTCTTAAGAAAATTATTTTTTTTCAAATGCATTAAGAAATATATGTCTTCTGTCAAAAAAAGTCACTATATGAACATATCAAAACTAAATATGACAAAGCCATAGATACAATTATTAATTAAATTTAGGAGAATTATCTAAAGAACTCACCTGAAAAAGTTGCAGATATATTTCCCATTCTGAAGTTCTCCTTTGCCCTTCCTAGATAATCCCTGCACACTTTGATCCATGGAAAACCTCCTCTCGCCTGATCCACTGGCCTTCCCAGTCCTTTTCAAAAACTTCCACATTAACAGAAACTAACTAAACCTATTGAACTAGAATTTCTTTCTAAATCCTGTTATCTTACTCTGTGAAGATGTGATGTCTCGTCGCGGTGGATGCCTCACGTACTGCCTTGTGTCTGGTTTCTATTACACCAGCCTTCTGCCCAAAAAGGAAGTATAAAAAAGAAAGAGAGAAAAAAAAATGTCCTCTGGCAAGTGACCCTCATCCAAGGGTCCAGACCTGAGGATATTGTGCTACAGATTGAGATGAACACCCAGCTGAGAGAGCGTGCTAAACGCAACATAGTCTAACCCCCTCCAATATCCATGTGCAACATTTGTAACAGATGATGAGTCCCGCTCTCTCTCTCTTTTTCTGTTACTTCATCTGGGCTTTTGTGTTTCCTTCTATCTGTCTCATCTTAACGTTTTAATACCTCCGCTGATTTATAAACAGCAACACATCACTGAGAAAAAGAACCCGTTGTCGCAGATGCATCAATTACTTGCCATCTTCCTTTTAATCGACATCAAAGAATTTGCACAGACACGTGTCGACCAAAACAAATGCACTTTAGCAACCTCTTTATTTTCTCTCAATTACATAACAGTTTAAAGAAGGGCGACAGTTATGAAGAAACAAATTTAGGAAGACAAAGGCAGGGACTTTGAGGACAGCAGTGTCACTAAGACATAAGCCACCTTGCCTCAGCACAGATCATCTAAAATGTAACCAGCAGGTACGCTCAGTCATGTCAAGTGTCATAATATTTAGATCTTCCAGCCCGCCAGAAAGACAGATAACAGAAAGACGAACAAGTCGCACTCCCGTTACACAACCTTTCCAACTTCATGTGTACACTTTCACCTTGGTCTGCAGGAGTGTGGCAGTGGATAGTGGGCATGTGGACAGAGGATTCTCTCTCTCAGGCACATGGTTAAGTTTCTTTTAGTCTGCAATAACACAACAAGGTACAGATGAGGAGGTGATTTGTGTGAGATTAAAACTGGAAAGTTACTCCACTGTTTCTTTATTCTGCATGCCAGGAGTTGTCGTCAGATTTCGGATAGGATCTAAACTGAAATGAAGTTGATGGAAGACAGATAAATGGGTTAGAGTCTGGTTTCCATTAATGAAATGTGCCTGGCCATTGTCACAGTGACCATATTGTAATGTTACACACAACCTTATAT